TCTCCTTGAAAAGCAAAAGAAAAACTCCCTCATTGGTACACAATCCCCCCGCACCTCCCCAAACCCCACCCCCTACCCCCAAATATAATCCACTCTGAAACCCTCATTGCGTACTCCTACGATAAAAATAATGCCCTAAAATATAATACTTTTAGACTATTCTCTCCCCCATAGACTTCAATGCCATAAACATATTTCATCCAGTTTTTCTTGGTCTTACCCCCATCCCAATGCCAGCCTCATTCTACAACAGTGGCACCATATAGCATTTGTCCCTTTGTGACTGAGATACCTCACTCAGCATAATGTCCTCCAGGGTCACCCATTTTGAATAATATTGCATGAGTTCCTTGTTTTTCAATGCAGCATAGTATTCCATTGTGCGAATATACCACAGCTTCTCTACCCATTCATTTGTTGATGGCATTTAGGTTGTTTCCAACTCCTTGCTATTGTAAACAAAGCTGCGATAAACGTGGGTATACATATATCTACTTGGATATCATTTATGGTCTCTTTAGGGTATATTCCCAGTAGTGGAATTGCTGGGTCAAATGGTATCTTTATTTGCAACTTTTTGAGAAAGCGCCACAACGCTTTCCACACTGGTTGCACCATTTTAAGGTTCTACTTACTTCTTAAGGATAAAAACCCAAACCAAAGCCACTGCTGTTTAGTCAATTCGGACTCTCAGTGGCCATCATGTTTCCAAGACTGTAAATTCATAATGGGAGAAGACTGATACTTTTCTCCTTTACTGAAGCTGATAGATTTGAACTGCCAACCTTTCAGCTAATAGTCTAACACTCTATGCATGGTGCTATTAGAGCACCTATATAACTTGTGTTATTTTTCAACTAGGTCTCTATCTTTAATTAGTTGCTCCAGTGGCAAAGTGGTTTAAAAACTTGACCATCAATAGAAAGGTTCTTATATACTATCAAGAATTAACTCAGAATTAACTGAACCTCCTGTAGGTTTTCAGAGGCAGTAACGTGCATGTGAGGAGACTGTGCATCTTTTTTCCATGGAGCAGAAGGTGGATTTGAACCCATGTATCTTTAGGCTGGCAGTGCAGCTCCTTACTACTAGACAACCAGAGCTCTCTAACTAAAAAGTACAGTCAGACTCCACCAGACATTCCTGGGTGGTCCATTTCATCCTGTAAAAATGTACTTAGAAATCCTACATGGTTCTACCACCATGAGTCAGAATAAACTCAACAGTAGGTGGGATCTTTTTTTACCACCATCTGTCCGTCAGTTTGTCATACTGTGGTGGCCTCCATGCTGCTTTAAGGCTGAAACTATCTATGCCGTCAGAAACTTAAACACAGCCTAGGGGGTGAAAAACCATATAGCAATCTAGATGCTCAAATAAGTTAACGGAAACCCTACAGATCAAAACAGAACATGGTGCCAGAAGATAAACCTTGTACCTTGGAAGACAATCATGATGTATCGCAGCTACAAAAATGAACTTAAGCATATTCATGATTATGAAGATGGTTTAAGACTGGGCAATGCTTCTTTCAATCGTACACGGGCCACTGTGAATTGCTATCAACTTGATATAAATATCAAGAGCAGAATTCTTTACGTATTTCTGATGAAGTTTTTTGAGTCCTGTGTCTCTATTCCCTCCTCCCGCCCCATTAGTCCTGTGGTTTTTACTGAATAACACTGTCGTTGTTGGTTGTTGTCAAATCGGTTCCAGCTCACAGGGACCCTATTACAAAAGAAAGAAAACTAACAATATGCAGTCCTGCACCATCCTCACAACTTCGATCTGTTTGAGTCCATTGTTGTACCAGTGTGTCAATTCAAGTCGTTGATGGACAGAACACACAATGCCTAGGACTTTGTTAATTCATCTTTAAAATGGGGTATTTCAAGTTCTTTTCTTTTTTAGTAAATAAAGTTGTGCCATCTACCTATTACAGGTTGTTAACAAAGCTCCCTCCAATCCTGATGCCACATTCTTCTTCACATAGGCCAGCTTCTAAAATTATTACTCACCATATAAACTGATTAAGTATGGTAAAAGGCTATAATTCTAGTGCACAATTTTCCTGATTTTAAAGTATGCAGTAGCTTATCTTCTGCACACTGATCTGTACACGGTTCTGTAAAAGCACAACTAAATATTCTGAAATGCCCAACCTTCACAATGTTATAAATTTTTGAGCTCAGCATAGTCAAATGTCTTTGCGTAGTCAATAGAACACAGATAAACGTCTGATGTTCTCTGCTTTCAGTCAAGATCTATACTAACCTTTAGTTATTAGTCAGTTCCTTACAAGCAAGGCAAAACTAGCCCTCTAAATGCCACAGCAGAATGTGAAGGGGACATAGCTGAAAGAGAAACCCACCACAGGTATAAAGACCCTTGAAATATAATCTGTGGATAACTCGTCCAGCTTTCTTCAGGACTTGGCGAGACCCTACTCCTCCTTCACTGTAAGTTTTCTATGCCCTTTCCACCTTCTCTTAGAGTTCACAAGGCTGGAGAGAGTAGAATTCAGCAGTAGCCATCACAAAATCACACCCACGTGTTTTCCATTCCCATTGAAAGGGGCCCTTGGATAAGCCATGTCCATAAACAAGAAAGGAGCCACACAAAAGGGCCCTCGCGATTCCCTCCTCCTCTTCCACTTCCTCACATTTCAAAGGCTGCACTCTCAAGTATTTCCGGAATTAGTTGACAAGAAAGTGCTGGACTCAGAATTTAAATGCACGTTTACTTAGGAAACCATACGGGGTGGGAGGGGAGGAACTTCAACAACATCATAAACGCAAAAAATTCTACAAAACCACCACAGTATGGAATCCAAAACAACAGAGGAATTGCAGGTAACTTTGAAAGGTGTGGTGATTTTTAGGCACACACAGCACTGAAGAGCAATGACGACTTTCCCCTCGACCTGAACTGGTCACTGTGTACTGATGGACACGCTCCCCCGCCCCCTCCATTCAGATGTTACCAGCAATTTCTTTGCCCCAAAAGCACACTGTTTTCCCCTGAGCCCCCACTGTGACTCCCCCAGTTCACAATGCTGTTTATCACCAACAGCACTGCATCTCTAACTTTATTTACACATTGTGGACTGACAAACAGACAACCTGAGCTGAGGGCAAATCCTACCTCTGCCCCCAAAGGTTCAGAGACACCGAGCTTCTCTTCTTCCACGTTTATACAAGATAAAGGAACTTATCCCAAGCAGCTATTTAGCGGTGGGAAATGAGGGAACAGAAATTTGCAGAAAACAACTGTGAAGGTTTGGGTGTTTTTTTTTTCAGCCACTGAAATGGCCATCAGAGCCAGCAGGAGCTCAGGAATAGAGTTAGAAACCCAACCTCAGTCAACAGTTTCCTTATTGGAAACACAGTGGAAGGCAGGGTCCCTGAAGGACAACGTATCACCTTTGAGAGAAAGTTCTAGTCAGCAGACTCCGAGTGGGATCCAAGAACCTCAGAGAAAAGGCTGGAGCCAGCCGCCTTCAGGGTGCACTCCGCCAGAGGCTTAGGGGTGCAGTAAACTACAAAGGGCCTCTGAGAGACAATCCTCACCAGCAGACTCTCCCTCCCTCCTTCTCTCTCTTCCCATTCCTTCTTCCCCGTGTCTCTCTCTCTCTCTTGCTCTCTCTCTCTCTGTGTGTGTGTGTGTGTGTATACCTGTATATATGGAATTTGTTTGACATGCAGGTTTGCTCGGTCCCTGGAGTGAGGCTAGCCAGCCTGGGCCTAGGGTTTGAACCAGAAGGCGGTCTTAAGCCCAAAGGGCCCTCGGGCCTGCGGCCCTCAGCCAGGTTCAAATTGTCTTCCTGTCAAACATTCTTCTAGGTGGTATAGCACTGGTCTGTGCGTTGCTGTACAGAGGTAACTCGTGGTTGCTGTGATGCTGAAGCCTGTGACAGTGATGTGCCAATCGTGGTAACAGGTACCCATGGTGGACAGTGTTGGCTGGAGCTTCCCGACTAAATCAAGCCTGGAAGCAGGAGCAGCATCCACTTCTGAAATGGCTTGCTTCCAGAAACTCTATGTACGAACAGTGCTCAGGCTGTTTGTTCATAGGGTCGCTGAGTCGTCTACAACTTGACGGCATCAAACAACAACATATATATGTGTGTATATGTATATGGGTGTGTGTGTGTATATATATATATGAAATATAGCATAGAATATATATATAATTAATTTATTTAGAAAATTAATTTCTTTAGAAAATTCAAATACATTGGTTTTCACACCAGATTCTTCGCCTTTCCCTCACACATCGCCCACCATATTGTACGACCCATGATTCATCCCCACACCCACACCTCCACTGTCCTCACCAGCAAACTCTTACAGAGCAGCAGAAGCCTTCAGGGGACAGAAAGCCAGGAAGCTCAGAGGGAGAAAGACAATCCCAAAATCCATTTAGAAATAATGTCAAAGCCAGAAGGAACTCAGAGCAGAACACACCAGAAGCCCTTGAAGAAGTTATCAGAACCATTAGGGTCCCTGGCCCAATCAAGGGACCTTAGGGCGACAGTGGGAATCAGAAATCTCCCGGAGGTCCAACCAGAACTGGACCTCTCTGACATCTAGTCCCAGTCAGCAGTCTTCAGACACTTGGTCAAAGCCAGGGATTAGGACAGACAGTCACAGTATGCCCCAGAGACACAGACACAGCCAGGAGCGCTCAGAGAACCACTCACAGCCAGGAACCATCAGAAATACTGTCAGCTCTAGGAGTCTCAGGTAACCAGTGCTGGGAATTCTCAGACATCTAGAACCAGCGTTCCACCAGAACCAAGGACCAAAACAGGCACCTTATAATAACACAGAAAAAAAAAATCAGGCTTTTAAAACCCCAACCCCAGACAGAGCATCCTCTACAGCAAGATCAAGTGCACAAATGTCTTTCTCAACAACATTAGGCACGAGCCTACTGGCGAAGTTCAGAGCACAAGGTCACACACCGCTCCGGCCTCTCACAGTGGAGAGGCTCCTTACCTGCGCACTTGGTTCGGGTGGTGAGGGGAGGCCCTGGGGGTCCCGTGCCACCCTCGCCTGGGCGTGTGAGGAGTACACGGATCTCATACTCCACATCCGGGTCCAGATGCCACAGCTTGTAGTTGGGGGAGTCGACGATGTGGGTCTCGGCCCAGGTGCCGGTGGTGGTGCGGTACTCCACCTCCTTCAGGATGATGGGGCCGTCCCCGATGATGGAGTTGGCATTCGGCTTGATCCACAGGTAGGTGGCACCCACGGCCAGCAGCTCTGGGGGGGCGATGGGCGTGGGAGGCTCTGCAAGAGAAGACATCAGCAAAGGACCATGAGAAATAAGGAGCTTGATGGGCAAAATCCAGCCACTTGAGGGCAGGGAACAGAATTACATGTCAAATACACACAACCCATTACCATAGAGTTGGAACTGACTCATGGCTGACCACCCACTGGGTTTTCAGAGGTGGCAAATCACATGGAGGGTTGCTGGAGAGAGAGCTTTGATGCCTTGTTGTTGTTGTTGTTGTTATGTGCCGTAGAGTCATTTGCGACTCATAGCAACCCTATGTATAAAAGCCCTAAACCCCTGCTCTGCCCTGTGCCAATCGCACTGTCTCTGACACTCCCATCCTGATTACCCCAGGCACTGACTCAATCCACCTCATAGAGGGTCTTCCCCTCCTGTGCCATCCCTCCACCCTCCCAAGCATGATGTCCCTCTCTAAGGACCTGTCTTGTCTCTCCTTACAACATGTTCAAAGTATGTCAGACGAAGTCTCAGAATCTTTGCCTCCAAGGAGCAGCCTGTTAACCCTTTCCAGAATGAATCTGTTTCTTTTCTCAGCAGTCCATAGTACATTCAACACTCTTCTCCAGCACCACAACTCAAAGGCATCAATTCTCTTTCTGTCCTTCCTAGTCATTGTCCAACTCTCTGATGACAAGTGATTGCACAGACCATAGCCTGTATCAGAAACACCTTAGTCTCCAGAGTGATACCATTGCTCTTCAGTACCCTGGAGAGGTCCCTAACAGCAGACTTTCCCATCACAATATGTTTGTTTTTTTTTTTTTTTTAGTTCCTGGCTACTGGTGCCAAGAGTGTTGACCGTAGAGCCAAGCAGACTAAAGTTGTTAACGATCTCAATCTCTTCACCATCCATCCTGATGCTGCCAATTGGTCCAGTGGTGAGCATTTTTGTCAGTGTCAGCCTAAAGGCAAATAGTTCTAATCTACCAGCCTTTACCTAGTAGAAAGATGATCAATCTTCTCCCACGCAGTTAAACTGCCTCTGAAAATCAGCTGGTAGGTCAGCTGCGGGTTGCCTCTGACTCAACAGTGCACAACAATACAATTATATGGGAGGAGATCGCCCACCTTTCTCCCTCAAAGCAGCAGGTAGATTTGAACTATTAGAGTCATGTTAACTAGTCCAACTCTTTTTTTTTAACCGTTATTCACATCCAAAGTTAAGTTTTTTCACCTTTGTACATGAAGACTTGAATATTCCTTTGGTAATCTGCTTCTTCACCCACCAGATTGCCTCCATTCAAAGAAAGGAAAGAACCAGCAACGGGAGGAGAGGATTTTTCCAGAGTCCTGCAAAGCTGTCTAGATTAATATTCTCCCTTCTATCCTCAAGCGAGAAACTGCCTTTAGTGAATTTTATTTCAGTTTGAAACCCAGGGGAGTTGGAAGTTTGTAAACATTGCCCATACAGGGGCACACAGATTGTTAACGGAAAGTCTCCCACCAGAATGATAAGAAAAAAGATAAAGCCACAGCTTCCTGTTCGACTCCAGATGGTCCCTCAAGCAGGGAGAACACCATTGGCCACAGTGGACCAGTGGGAATCGAGAGTTTTGGCAGAAGTCATGCAGAATGGCTCAGCATCTACTCATACTTGACACTTCTTGCTATTAAGCTGTGTGTCTTCAAATAAAGAAAAAAAGACATTATAGGCAGCAATCCTGATGGCTTCTTTCTGGGATTGAGGGGCCAGTCTCTGGTGAAGAACAGAATTCTTGGGAGAACAGGGGGTGAGCAAAGAAAAGGAAGCCCCTCAACAAGATGGACCGACAGGGTAGCTACGACAGTGGACACAGCTAAGGATGGAAGGATGGCACTTTCCAAAGCACCATCTCTATTGTGGTCGACATTGAGTCGCCAGCAGTGAGAACTAACTCAAAGGCACCTAACAACATGTTTCTAGCAATCAGTAACAGAACTATTTCATCCTTCTCATATACCAAGGGGAAGAGTCCTGGCGGTACAGGGGCTGCTAATAGAAAGGTCCACCAGGCACTTGAATCTGCTTAAGATTTGTTCACTGTTGTTATGTGTCGTTGAGTTGCTTGCAACTCAGTGACCCTATACACAGCAGCTCTGACGCCTGCCCTGTCCTGAGCCAGTCTCACTGACTCCGATACACCTACCCCCGTTGCCCCAGTCACTGCATCACTCCATTTCCTCTGAGGTCTTCCTCTCCTGTGCTGTCCCTCCACCCTTACAAGCATGACATCCTTCTCCCAGAACTGGTCCCTCCTGGTCATGTGCCCAGACTGGAGACCTGAGAGAGGGCTGTCAGGATCAACTTGACACAGTGTTTTGTGGGAGCCCTCGTGACACACAGCACTTAAGTATTTGACTGTTAAGCAAAAGTTGAGTGGTTTCAAAGCACCAGTTGTTCCACGAGAGAAAGACCTGGAAACGTGATTCCTCCCATAAAGATGGACGTCTTGGAAATGCTGTGGGGACAGTCTGGTGTGTCCTACAGGTGAGTCTGAGTGGAAATGAATGAGATGGCAACAGGTGGTTTGTTTTATTAATAAATGTGACATGAACTATTTCATTTAATGACTGAGACAATATTATCATCTCCAGTTTTTGTTGTTGTTATGTGCCATCGAGTAGCTTGTGACTCAAAGCGACCCTATGTACAAGAGCGCTAAATGCAGTTCTATCCTGTGCCAACCTCGCTGTCTCAAATGCATTCATTCCCACCACTCCACTCACAGAATCGATCCATCTCATTGAGGGTCTTCCTCTCCTGTGCCGTCCTTCCACTCTCCCAAACAAGATGCCCCTCTCCAAGGACCAGTCCCTCCTTGCAACATGCCCAAAGTATGTCAGACAAAGCGTCACAATCCTTGACTCCAAGGAACAGAATATCTGGCTTCACCTGTCCTGAACAAACCTGTTTGTTCTCCTAGCAGTCCATGGTATATTCAACACTCTTCTCCAGCACCACAGCTCAAAGGCATCAATTCTCTATCATCCCTGTTCACTGCCCAACTCTCTGATGCACAGCACGTAACTGCGAAGACTATAGCCCGGATCAGGCACTCCTTAGTCTCCAGCCTGGTATCATTGCTCTTCAGTACTCTTTTTTAAAAATAATTTTAATGAACATTCACAGAGAATTTGGATTTCCATTCATTCATTGCTCTTCAGTACTCTTGAGAGGTCTCACAACTAACTAGTGGGTTTAAAAAAAAACAACAACAAACTGAGAACCTGAGTCGTCAGGTGACTTCTACCAAGCTCATGGGGCAGGCAGGACGCGATGAAGCCAGGATCACATACTCACCCAGGTCAGCTGTCCCCTGGGGGTCTTGTTTATCTCTCAATATTCATTTGAGAATTCGAACTGAGCATATTTAGATGTGTAACAAAAATATCAGTAGAACAACAAGGGCATGAAAAGAAACAGAAAAGGGCCAGCCTTGGTTACCATAAAGAAATTTTTATTTCTCTATGAAAAGACGTTCATTGGGATGCCAATCAAAGGGCCGTTTTTGTTCTTTATCAAGATTCATAGTCCAACTGATACTTGACCCTCCACAGATTTTTCAGAGGCAATAAATCACATAGGAGGACACCATCCATCTTTCTCCCAACTAGTAGATTTGAACCATGTGCCCTTAGGTTGGCAGTGCAACTCCTTACCACCACTAAGTCACTAGAGCTCCTTAACCAAAAGGAGGGTTCAAATCTGCCATGTCCTCCTCAGGAGAAGGATGGACGTCTCCACAGGTAGGGATTTACAGCCTCAGGGTGGGGGGGAATCAATGGAGAGGCACCAGGAATTGGAAACGACTGGATGGTGACAGGTATTGGTTTATTCTATTTTTATTTAAATCACAGAAATTTATTCCTTCCCTCTTATGTAATTTTGTTTCCTTTTTGTTACTTACTAGATGCTTATAAATTTTTCTTATACATATAATAGTGGTGGTGGTGACTGACTTTAAGTCAAGCACAACTCATAGTGATCCCATGAACAAAAGGCCTGAAGCCCCTTTACAACTATCGACATTTCTCAAAGTTCACAGAGTTTCCGGAGGCATGTGGTTTAGGAAATGGATGCCACTCCTGCTTCCAAATATAATATGTATAATTATTATTACACGTATAATCCATGGTCTTCACGATCACCATTATTAACAGCTAGAGAAGAGCCCAATGGATAATCATATTAATAACTGACACATAAGTGGCTTCAAGTTCTGATACTGGAAATAGTTTTGCACCAAACACTTTTGTGAAATTACTTAAGTTCGTCTTGTCTCCTATTTTCTGAAGCTCAAGTGCCACGGTGAAATGATCTAAACAAGTGTAGGAGCACATTGACATCTCTGAGGTGGAGCCACTCAGTGGGGCCCCTGGGATTGGAGAACAATGTGGACACTCTGAGAACACAGGTTTTTGTTTGTTTGCTTGATTTCTGAGGGGCCTCTCGACTCTGGTGATGAGATGAATTGTCAAGCTGCTAACCGAAAAGGTGGCAGTTCAAACCACACACAGGAGAATAATCAGACAGTCTGCCTCTCTACGGATCTGCGGACTTGGCAAACTTTTGGACCTTTTCTATCTGGCCCAACAGGGCTGCAATGAATTAAAATCAACCGAACAGCAATGGGTTTGATCTCAGTTTGGTCTGGGCTATCCAGGTATGAGCCTATCAGGTTAGGACTCCGGTGAGGGCTTCAAAATAGCTGTACAGGAGATCCATTCTGCACCTTCCTTCTCATCAATAACCTAGCAACCAAGGTTCTCCAGAAACAGAATAATTGCTATGAAACAGGAATGGACAATATTTTCTCAGTGTGACTTGAAGCAAATCTTAGGGGACAACTCCAGATTGCCTTTATTACAGCCTGCCATTTGGCCAGAGAAGGAAATTAAGCAGATTAGTCAAGCTGGATGCTTCCCTTTGCAAAGCCATGGAGGTTATTACTCAAGACCTTGTTATCGCAAAGGTGTTTGCAAATTGATTTTTGGATAATTTGTTCCAGGT